ATAAATAAAAAATATGAAAGAAACGCAACAAAATTAAATATAATTTGAAAATTAAATGATATAAATTAGAAGTTTTAATTAAGCATAAGATATTTCACTTATAGAAAACGAAGAATAAAATCAAAATATAAATAAGAATTAAAAATTAAAAAATGGTTAAAATAAAAATAAAAATAAAATATATTTATTATTAAAAATATTTATATTAAGGACAATTTTTTTCTCATTAAAGATAGTTAATTGCTTTTGCATTAGTCATATACTTTTTAATTTCCATAATATTTTATCTAAACAATAGATTAGAAATCTTTTAAGAAATACATTAAAATATAATTAGCTAAAAATAGTTATAATAATACAATGATTTACAAAAACAAGTTGAAGAATAAAGTAAAGCTTATAATGTAAATTCTTTGTAAGTTAAATCTGAGTATTTTTTATTTTTTTAATATTAATTAACATTTTTAGTTTTAGTAATTATTTTGAAAGTACTGCATTACTTTATTTACTTTTACAAACATTTTAAAATAATAAAAATCTTAAAACGATTTATATTAATTTTGAGTAAAAATATTTGCATATATACTTACTATAAAATTATTATTTTAATTAAAAAAAGATTAAATAAAAATTTAGAATAAGAAATTTTATAAAAAATTATTTTGTTGATTGAAAATTAGCAAAATTTAGAAATTCTTAAACTTAAGTTTCAGTAATTTTTTTTAGAAAAAAATACTATATTTTAATTAATATTGTTATAAATTCTTTTATATATCTATTTTATTTAAAGTGATAAAACTGTTTTTTAAAATGACGACTTTAATTCCTTAATTAATACTTTTTAATATCTGAAAAGTTTATCTATACTTGAGCTTCATATTGAGTTATTAAAATTTTTTAAAATAATTTTTTTATATTTTTATATAAAAGAACAAAAGAAAGCATTTAAGAAGGAATAATGAATACATTTTGTTATTTTTTATAAGAAATGAAAAATTTAAATAAATTACAATTAAAGTTAAAGTATAAAATAATTTAATTTTAAAAATTATATATTTAAATAATAGTATGAAAAATTAAGATTTTAGTATTCTTTCTAAAACAATTGCAAAATTATAAAAAATTGAATATATTTCTTTTGATTTATGGTTTTTATAAAAAAAAAACTATTTAAAACAAATTTATTTAAAGGTTTACTTTTAATGATTATGTTTTTAAAGAATTCACTTAAAATATAAAAGAAAAAACACTTTTGAAATAACTTGAATTAAATTTAGAGTTTTTACTAATTTAAATAAAATTAAATATTGAAATTTATTTTATATTTTCTTTTTTAGTTACTCTTCAAAATATATTACTTAATAATCAATACATGATTTTTTTGTTTAAGTGAAAAGATTTAATCAATTTTAAGTTTTCAAATTAAATTTTAGTGGAAATGAAAATATTACTATGAAGGATTTATAAGTTTTATCTAGGGCTCTTGAAAATTAACATTAAATTAATAAATTAAGATTAAATTTTGAGTATATATTTTAAATAAAATATTTATTTGCTTTTATTTTTAGATAAAGTGCCAAAAATTTTTAAGATAATTATGCTTTAGACATTTTAAATAATGTTTTTTAAAAAAATATTCTTTATTTAAATGAATTAGATTTGAATTTTGGAGGAAAGTAAAAACTTTGTTATTTTTTAATATTTTTAAATAATTATTAGAAATTAATAAGAAGAAATATAAAATAAATTTAATGATAATGGAATCAAAGCATTTTCTGAAGTTTTAAAAAACATGAAAAAATTAAATACACTTAAACTGAATTTTTGGTAAATTTTAATTTAAAAGTTTATTATTTTATAAATAAAACAAAAAATTCAATTTTTTTTTAGGAATAATCAATAGATTACAGATTAAGGCGTATTTTATTTTGGAAACTCTTTATAAAATCTTTTTATACTAAACAGTTTAGAAATTGACTTATTGTATTATTTTTATAGATAAATTTATTAATAAAATTTTAATTTTTATTATAATATTGTATATATTTTTACTTTATAAGGAGCAATAAAAATTTTACTGACTTAACATTATAATATTTAAGCAAAGCTTTATCTAATATGCCTTTATTAACAAAATTATATTTAAATTTTTCGTATTTTAATAATATTATTTTTAATAATTTATTTATTCTTTTTTTATATTAAATATAAAAGTTGGAACTAAAACTTTACTGATAAAGGTTTTTAAATGCTTACTGAAGCAATTGAAAAAATGATTCAGATTTAAGATTTAGTCCTTTCTTTTTTGTAAAATTATATTTATTTTTATATAAAAAAATTAAATAGTTTAAATTGCAATTTTACAGATAAATCATTAAATAATTTAATAAATGCTTTATAAAATAAAAAAAAATTAATAAATTTAGAATTAAAAATTAAAGGATGGTAATAGTTTTATTTTTTTATATATTTATATAATATTTTTTTATTTAAGGCATTCTTGTTAATAAGGATTTTCTAATGAAGCAACTTAAAAACTTAAATAATTTGTTGATAATAATTAATACATAAAGTAATGTTATATTGAATTCAAAGATTTTTATTATGTAAATATATAATTTATATTTATTTTACTTTAAAAAAACAGTGAAAATTAATAAAATTTCGATATTGTTTTCAATAAATAAATTAAGAAAATGTTAAAAAAACTATTAATTAAATAAAAAAAATCTGTATTTATATAAATAATAATAATGTATTTATTTTTACTTACTTTTTTTATACTAAAAATAATTATATTCATTAAAAAAAATATTTTTATATTTAATTATATAATAAAAATAAAATAAATATAAATATTTTAATAGTTAACTTTTTATAAAATTACAAAAAAATCGTCATCTTAATTAAATTCTTAGATGTTCTTATTTTTATGATGTAATAAGAAGGCTTTTAGGTTTATCTTATTCTTAGTTTTCATAAAAATTAATATTTTTTTTAAATTCTTTCATTTTCGCTTTTAATGGATTAACTAAATTACTTAATTAATTACCTTTTATTTTTTAGTTAGTATATTGTTCATTTTATTTTTCTTCTTCTGAATTTTTATTATGCAAAATTTTTTTATTAATATTTTAAAGGTTTTTTGTTAAATCTGAAATATAATTTTAGTCTTCGTTATTTTTTTTAATATTTTCGTTTTTTTTAACGCACAACATTTTATTATATTTTTAAGAGTTACTAATTTAAATCAAACTATTATTATTACTACTCGATTTACACGTAAAACTACTATTGGTTTAACACTTTTTAGCATCTAATTTATTATTACTAGTTGATTTTTTATACTTAATAAATTCATTATATGACTAATTCAATAATTTTAAATTTTTCTTCTTTTAAATAGATTATTCAAATCTTTTAATGTCCGGTGTTCTTGTTTAGCTTCTTTTTTTATTTAAAAAAGTATAAGGAGCAATATTAAACCTTTTTTTATTTTCTTCATCTATTTTCTTATTTTGATTTGAAATCTTATTTCTTGAAAGTAAAGGTGAAGTAGAATTATAAGTGTTTCTAAGATTTTTCTTAAATTTATTTTAAAAGAAAATCTTCTCAATTTTCGAAAAATCATTATTATATATTATTTCCGTACAACTTTCTAAATTATTAAAAAAAATATTTCTTAAAATTTCCTTTTGTTTATCCATATCATTATTTTCATAATTATTATTATTATTTTAAAAATTATCATTTTTATCTTATTATTATAGTAAATTTTGAAGTAAATTTTTAGAAAAATTATTATTATTATTTTCTAAAATATTAATAATTTTCTTTTCTTTAATATTTTTATTACTTAATAATTTCTTCTTTTATTTAATTCCTAACTTTTCCTTTAAACTAATGATCTCGTCTTTGAAAATTCTTCTCGCCTTCTCCAATTTTATTTCATCTAAAGCATTAAATAATTAATTTTCGATATTTTAAATTTCTTCGTTATTAATTTCGTTAATTCCACTCATATTTTCATATAAATCAAGTCTTTTGAGTCCTTCTTCTGCACACTATCTTAATTCTTTATATTTCTTTTCCAATACGGTATATTACCATTTACTGTTATTCAAAGAGTTTTTCGAATCTTGAAGTTCCCTATATAATTATAAATATTTCTACTATATTTGGATAAAATTTTGTTCGATTATATGTTCCCTTTTTTTGTATTCATTTAATTAGTGTTTCATTTTAGTACATAAATTTAATACAAACTTGCCTTCATAATCATATATTAAATCACATACATTTCTGTCTAATTACGAATAGTTTTTTTGTTTTTTTAATGTAAAGCTTGTATGAAATAAAAGTCCCGCTTATTAGTGAATTAAGGAAGGATTCATATTATAATTTATAATTTCATGCTATTCTTTTAGATCTTTTTAAAGTAATTATTTCAATTATTGTAAAATTAAATTTTTATCATTTAATTACTGATATAATTATAATTTCAAATTATCTATTTCTTAATCTTTCTATTTTTTATTTTTATTATTAGTATTTTTATTTTTAATATTAGGTTTATTATTAAAAGTATCAAATTAACTTAATATATTATTATTTAAATTTAGTTTTTCTCTCCTATAATGAATCTATATATTATTCTTTATTTTTTTAGCATTTTAACCAAATCGCATACTGCTAATACTTTGATCAAAATGAGTAACTTAAATAAAAAAATAATTAATAAAGAATTTAAAAAATATATATAAATATTTATATTATATATATATATTATAATATATATTTATATATTTATATATATAATATACATGTTGGTGTTACACACATTATAATTAATGTTCTACTATTTCCTCCTAAGCTTGATCTATTTTAATTTAGTTATTTTTTTTTTAATATAATAATTAATTAATACTTTAATATTTTAGTTAAAGTTGAATTTCTATAAGGAATATGAACTTAAGATTTATTTTAACTTTATAGAAAAATCACTTGAGTTAAAAAGAATAAACTTTTATTAATAGATTGACTTTCTTTTATTCTATCTTTTGTTATTTTTATTTAAAGAATATCTTCTATTTATGCACTTTTTATACAATATTTATTTTATATATTTTTTTTAAAAATATATGTTTTGCTTTAATTATTTTTACAAATCTTTTTAATATACATCATCTACAATCCAATTGTTATGGTTAGATATTTTTTCCGATCCTGCCAAATCCACAAAATTAAGTACACTTTCAGTTATAATAGTATTATTATTTTCTACTAATTCTAATAAATGTTAGTTGTTTACATTATTAATATTATTATTATTTTACAAATATTACACTATTTTATTATTGCTATAAGAGACTAAACTCAATTTAAATATAGTATGAGATCTGCTGGAAGTATGATTTAATATAGTTTCCGCATAATGTCTGTTTTCTTCTCCTTAATATATAATATCTAAAACATCCTCTAAATATTAAATAGGAAACTCTTTTAAATTTTTAATAATGAAATCTTTTTTATTTAAATTTTCAGATATGCAGAGACTTTCTTCCAATTAGTTTTTCACTTTTAATAAATCATAAATATTCTCATTATATATTTCAAAATAACTACATTTTATTCCAAACGTATATTATTTATTCTTTTTTTTTAATATTTTTTTTTTTTTTTAAATAAAAAATACTTATTAAATTATGCTTAATATTTAATCTATTGATAATAACAGAATTCCCCAATCTACTTGTTATTATTTTATATATTATTTTTAATGGCTTCTATTATTTTCAAATTATATTTCCTTTAAATAATCATTTACTTTACCTAATGTTGTATAAGTTTTACCACTACCTGTTTATCCATACATAAAAACAGTTGAATTTATACCTTAAAGTTTATAAAGCTATTTAATTAACAAAAAAAATACCTTTAATAACAGATTAAGTAACTTAATTGACTAATTCATTAAAAATATTTTAATTACTAGAATTTTGATTGAAACATTTATCAAATTTATAAGAAATATTTGTCATTAAATTCATTTTTTTTTAGTTTATTAATTCTTTTATATATTGTTTATTTAAGGATATGCAATTATCATTTTGAACTTCAAATATTGGTTCTTCTTTGTTTATTTTTTCTTATTCATTTAAAGGTCTTATTCTTACAGCAACTTTTATATTTTCCATTATTTATTTTTTGTAATTTTTATTTTAATGAATTTTAAAAAAAATAAAATTAGTTTAACTGAAAAAAAAAATAGGATTAATTTTTTAATATTTAGTTTTTTATTTGTTTTTGAATAAATAAAATTAAATAGTTCTTTTTTATAAGTAAAATAATATTTATATTTATTTATTTATTTTTAATAAAAAATATATAAACGATAATATCTATTTTTAATATTTTTTTATAAAAATAATCTATAATTATAAAATAAAATTATAAAAAATTAATTTAATAAATCTAAATATAAAATTGACTATAATTAATTAAATAATTATAGGGGAATAATATTTTAATAATAAGATATATTAAATTATATTAATGATATGAAAAACAATATGTTAATAATTTAAAGTAATTTAAAAATAAATACAATTAATTATATAAAATTAAAATAAATTTATTGCTGAATAATCATTATAATTTATGTTTAAAAATAAAATAATATAATATAAAACAAAATAATATAAAATAAAATTAGTAAAATAAATATTTAATTTTATATTTTTTATTTATATATTAAGTATTTTTTTATTCACAAAAATTTATCTATATTTATCTAAATTTATTCTTTATTATTATTATTAACTTAGTTTATAATTTTATTATTTTTTTAATTAACATTGTTTTCTTTAACTTAGTAAAATAAACTAAAAATTATTTACTAATTTACTAATGCTCAGTTTCTATATATTTTTATTAATTTTTATTGTTTAAATTATTTATTTATTTTCGATTATATAAAAAAATAATATAATATATTTAAATGAAAAAAAAATAACTTATAGTCAAAACATTTCATCCTATAATTCTTTTATTTTTTTTCATATTGATTCTATTTCTTGTTTAACAACCAATCTTTTTTTAAACTAATCTTGAATTACTGCACTTAATTTAATATTATCACAAATACACTTTCCTTTCAAAATACATTCAATAATTAAATCTTTATTTTTTACTTAAAAGCACTTTTACCTAAGCCAACCAATACAAAATGTAACCTAAAGCCCATACATAAATTCAAGGATTATCTCGAATATTTTTTAAGGACTTTTCGAGTTAAATATTTAAAAGTCCCACATTTAGTATAATCTATTTAATTAACAACTATTAAGCTAAAATACCAAAATAAACAAGTTTTATAATTTTCTTTATTTATTTTAAGGCATATTGTTTTCCGATTTCAAATCTCTAATAATAATCATTTACTGCAATAAAATAGTGAAAATATTATTTATTTAAATAAAAAAATCTTCTCGTTAGAAAAATGATACTTTTCCGTTAACACATTAGTGTAAGTCATCTCCTTTTAAAAATTCTAATATATAAAAAAATAATGTGTTATTCGAATGTAAAAAATTATGTATCTTATTATGTTTGTATAAAATAGTATATGCAATTATTAATTAAAATATTTATTTTATTAGTATTTATTTTTTTACTTTTTAGATATTTTTATTTTTTTCTAAATAAATAAATATCTTTTTTTTCGTTTTCTATTATTTTTTATTGTTTCTTTTTAATTTTTTATTTTTTATTTGATTTCTTGCTTTTATATAATTTCCATAAACATCATTATTTTAAAATGATTATTAATTATAAACTATGAAATTCAATATTTCATCCAATTATTCTCATTCCATTTAGATATATATATATAAAATTATTTTTTATTTTAAATATAATATATCTTCTTAAAAATATTGCTTTAAAAATACATATTTAATATTTTTGTTTATCATTCATAATAGAATGTTTTAAAATTATATATTGTAATTATTATTACAATCTATAGTTAGACTTTATTATTATTATTAATTCAAATGTATTATAATAATATATATTATAAATAAATCTAATATTATTGATATTTAATACTTAATATATTTACAAATGTATTAAGTATAAAAAGTATAAAAAATATTAAATTTTTTTATTCAAAAAATGAAAAAAAAAATTAAATTATTAAAAAAAAATATATATTTTAAATAATTTTATTAAAATTAATTATTTATTATTCTAATGAATTATTTCATATAAATTTTTAAAAATATTTTAATTTTTTTTTTTCTTA